AATCTGAAGACTTTCTGCAATGGCACCCAGGACCCTGAGGTACCAGCCCTAAAAACAAACAGAGTTGAATTGTTTCTAGCAAAAACTAACCATAAATCTCATTGTTGTAAATGCTGGTTTTGAGCTAAATGTTAACAAAAAAAACCTGAACTCTGAACAGTATGCTCTCTCGCAAAGGCCATCTTAATTTTAACTCTGTTAAAATTGGTCCCTTATTAATAATAGAACTCTGGTACTTAATAACTATGTTATTAGACATAATTCTCTTTGCATTTACTCCTGTTTACATATGTTTTGATATTTTATTTGAAAGGTTTCTGCTGCTTTGGCATCCAACATCAAGACAATTACACCAGAGATATTTACAGCTCTTGGAAGCTCCAGCGCAGGTCTGAGTAACAGCCAGATCAGTTCAGTTCCCTCATCAGTGCTCACCTCTTCTTTGTCCACCCTGGGCTCAGTCAGTACCTGGAGCCAAGATCAGGCCTCAATAATCCTCCAAACCCTTACTGCCTCAGGCTTCCAGGTAACGCCCTTCAGGTCCACCTAATATACCTGACATTAGATCTTAAACGCATGTGCCTAACGATGTTATATATTAATCCAGTAAGGTTTTACAAAATACAAAATAACTCTAAGATGCTTACCACTTTAGAGAATGAGGGTTCAAAAACTTGAAATGTGTTAACAGATCAACAGCGAAGCCTCCCTGGCATCCCTTGGCACGCTTGTTATTGGACTTCCTTCAGAAGCAATAGAAAGCACCAGCGCTTCTGAGCTACTCAGCGTCTCAAAGAGCAACACCTTCGTTTCCAACATGCTGGCAGCCCCAAGTGTTGTCCAAACAACCTTCGTCAAAAAGGTACAACGTTAGCTTCCACAAGACAATATAAAGTAAATGCTATGATCTGGAGGACATCAACATATTCATCTTTGGCATTATGATATTTAAATATTAGAATTACTTTGATAGCAATATTAACTCTGTATTCCATGATATTATTACTCCACTCATTACATTTAATCTTAAATGCATTTACCTACCTGGTAGATCATTTCTCTGGACACAAATCCATCACAAGTGGTGCTGAATGTGCCAGATGCTATGGCAGCTGAGATCCCACCATCCCTGTTGGTGTTTTCTGACCAATCTGCAGACATCCCCGTGCTCAACAGAAAAACCTGGACACCAGATCAGGTTAACATTTTGTTAAATACACACAAAAATGACTTTTTAAAGTCAATGTTACAGATAATAATACAAAACTTTTGTTCTTTTTTTTGTTCTTCTAGGCTGCCATCTTTTTTGAGGTCCTTGACAACACAAACTTTGACATTGAGCAGTAAGTGAAGAAGTCATATAACTATTTGGCCCTGTAGGTTTATTTTGAAGAGGGGATTATTTATCATTTCTTTCTGGTGTTCATCAATCCTCCCCGCAGGCTTTCTCCCTCAGTGCTGCAAGGCTTCACTTGCACTTCTGCCCCGAAAATGACACAATTCAGGACCAAGGAGCTAATCAGAGCCGCTAGGCCCCGGTCAGGCCGAGCCAAAGTGCAGTTAAAGGAATCCCAGGTAACATCTGCTAGAAAGGAATTTAATAATAGTACTATGACTCTTAAATGAAGTTAACAATTAAGATGTGTACGTTATATGGATATAAAATACCAGAAACAGAAATCATCAGGTTGAGGATTTCTTTTTCTTTTGAAAGTTAGGATAATCCACAAATCATCAGTTTCAGTGTTAGAAACAGCTTACTTCCTCTTTTTTCCCACACTGTTTTCTACAGCTAACCTGCATGCTCAACTTGCTGAGTGGAGAAATCTCACAAAACTTCACAGATTATCCATCAGACATGCTTCTCTACTTAAGGTGAGTAGGTGTCTCCAAGCATTTTCTTGCACTCACCTTAAAATGCGTCACTAATGTGAAGAAGAATTACTGATTTTACCTTTCTTTTTTTTTCTAAAAACAGCAGCAAAAATGTTAACAAAGGCAACTGCAGGTCATACTTTTCTGCACTGGGTGCGGCAGACTTCTCTGTGGCCTCCAAAATCTTGAATAAGGGCTCGGAGCTGTTCCGTGAAGCCACTGAATGCTTGGTGAGTGATGGTTTTTTTTTTTACATGTATATGTCTAAAGGTAATAAATGCATGATTTACACTCTGACACTGATAAGGTTGCATACGTGCACAGTTTTTTAAATAAAGCATTTTCCTGTTTTCTGTTTTCAGGGTATAAATGGCTTGAGCCTGAGCAGAGAGAATATGGAGATCTTGGGGAACATGGCTTGCACTCTGGATGGGTCTTACATACAGAACGCAGATCCTCTCATCCTGGAGAAACTCAAATCCTGCAATGACTTCTCTGCCAGCCAGGTGGCAGCCATGGAGACATTGCTGCTGTCTGGAACAACACAATATGGGTACAATGATAAAAACAAGTCATTCTGTCAGGAGTTTAAAAAAACACAACTAGTAGTTTTGTTAATGCTGTTGTCCATCATGCACACATCAAACATATCAAACATGGTGACAATTGTGTTCGTATTTGCAGTGTGATTGATTTGTTACTGAAAAGGAGAATATCTGAACATCTGAGGGGAAGCCATGAGCCAATCACAGTTTTGGCCGTGCCGATATTATACCTTCAACCACTCTGGGAACAATGTTTCACAAAGTTTCCAGGCTTAGAGGAGTTAGATAAGTTGTATAACAGATTTGCTGTTTAATCTTGTATCTTGAGTCAGATTAAGCTATATAATCTATTACATAATCCTCTGATTTAGCCTCTAAGGAAAACAGTTCAATTTTGTGGCTTCCGGTATAGAGAGCTGGTGTAGACTGCAGAAGCGTTTGATTACAGATGTGGGGAGTTTTGTGCTTTTTTTAAGCTAAGTCATCAGCCTTTTAAAATTGGGCTAAGGGACTCTGAGCAGACAACAATTAGAATCCAAACAGCTCTTAAAGGAAATTCATATGCAGACTTCAATAATTTTATTATGCAGAGATTAATTTGCACCAAAAGCACAACTCTGTAACTCAGTTATATTTTTGTAGAGCTATCAGTTAGCTGCACCATACAAGTTTAACTCCTACCTTATTTTTAAAATGAAGCCATAAACCTTGATTCATTGGCACAAACTTGCCAGTTTCATTTTGAGGACTTTGTATATATAATACCTAGTAGCCATGCCACCAAATTTTGTAGCCCATACTACCTCTTTCAAGTTAGCACTGTAAGAAAATATCCTCTTCTATTTTCAGAAATGCCGCTTCCTGGAACAAGCAAACACTGGAGAACCTCGTACCCCTTCCACTCTACTTCACAAGAAATATCTGGAACCGGTTTGATTCTGTATGTTTTTTCTCGTTGCTTGATAGTATTTAGTCTAACAATATTCATTCAAATAACTTGTGTTAGAAATCAGTTTGGGCGATTTGTGTTTTTTACAGAAAACAAAGAGAATGTTCCTGAAGACCTTCATGCCCAAACTGAGGAAAGCAAACACAGAGAAAAGCAAGCTCAAGAGGCTGTTCCAAGCGACGAGAGGCCGGATAACAAGACGAGGAGCAGGTACGACCTTGTTCTTATTTATTTTCACACCAGCTATTCAAACTGAAGCAAAAACAATTAGTCAGCGGGAGATTAATAATTGTATAACTGTATAACTTAAATAAATAGACATTGTAAACACTTAGCTTTAGTGGTACGAGTACAGATAGCAAAAGATTCAGTGAACTTAGAGAAGTCAGGTGATAATATTTATAGCAAAATGTCACAGTGCACTGATGTGACTGTTTATCTGTTGCAAAAAGAGAGAACTGTCCTTTTTAAAGTTAGACAGACTTGCACAATAACCCATATTTTATGCTCAAATGTTATATGACTTAATTATTATATTTGCTTTTATATATAAAGGCAACCGTAGCTTGCACAGCACTCTCATCTGCATCTCTAATTGTTCTTAAGGTTGCACCACGGGCAACATCACCCAGGTGATAGTTAGCGACTCCGCCTTCCCCTTTGACTATGATCTCACGCAGTTTGACCTCTGCCTGGATGTTCCCGTTCTGAAAGAAAACCTCAACTCCATCTGCAACAAAGTGGATGATAATGGTTTCCAGACTGTCATCCTAAAGAAACTCAATGAGGTATTTTGTGTGGGAATTTTGAAAAAGAGCCAAAATGTCATTCATTATGTTAGACAGGCTTATTATTAAATAGGCAGAATTTGCAAAAGAGATATTGTTTCAAATTTGGGATTTAGCACATTAGCACACAGTATTGCACATTCTCTATTGTTGCAGGCATTCCCATCAGGGGTTCCTGATCAGGATGTCCAGTTGCTTGGATCAGTGTCTCGTGTGGCATCACTTGACGATATATCCAAGTGGAACATAACCAAAATTGACACCCTTGCAGCTCTAATGAAAGCTGAAGATGGGCCCTGGGAGGCAGCAAAGGTATAAGAGGAGGAATTCATTTCACTTTTATCCTTAATAGTCTTATTATTCTTACATGATACCTTTTCTTTAATGTCACTCAGAGCAACAAAATCATCACTCAGTATCTGAGCACTTCTGGAAACTCCCTGGGCAGCACTGAGCTGACCATTATTAACTCCAACCTGTGCTCACTAAACCCCAGTACACTGCAGACCATCAGCCCAGACAGCATCAGGTTGGTGTCAGATTGCAGCTCAACGATACAAGAACATTGCCAAATGTGAGTGGTCATGCACACGTAACACTGCATGTCTCTTTCTTCTTTCACCTTGACAGAAATGCCAGCCCTCTGAAAGTGTCATCATGTTCAGCTGAGCAGAAGAAAGTCCTGTATGGCATCAGTACCACTTCCTTCAGCTCACAACGGTCCAGCTCCAGTATCATTTACCAGCTGATTAAGCCCTATCTAGGTGAGAATACATTTTGTCTGTTTGCGTAGCTGTTTCTCTATTTCTCGTAAAACTGCTTTCTAATTTCCTGTTTCATTTCCTTTCTCGATAGGTGGAGCACCTCTGCAGGATATAGTAGCACTGTCAACACAAAACATCAGCATGGACATAAGCACTTTCAGCAGTCTGGACCCTGCTGTTATAGCTGTAAGAATAGTTGTTAAAGAAATGAAAGTAAAACGTTTTGGACATCCACCTACATCTAATTTTTATTGTGACTATATTATATGTCTGAGTTGTGCCATGAAAACTATGATTTTCTTTTTAAATAGTTCTTATAAGAAATAGCTAAACTGCTGCTGATATATATAAATGTCAACCAAGTTCCTGATTTAGGTGCTTTGGCAACATAAAGCACCATATGTAGTCTTTCAAATTTCTCATGCTCTTTATTTAACATAATATGATAATATTTAAAAAGAAGGCATTTATATTTGGCTTCTTTGTCTTGTGTGTTAACAGCTTCAGACTAATTTTGTTTTCTGTTATTTATTTAAAATTCACAGAATTTGACTGTGAGCAACGTTAAAGGCCTCGTGGGTTCGCATCTACCTGATCTGAAGCTGTTTGAGAATGAGACTGTAGTTCAGACCTGGATCAACCGGCAGCTGCAGTCAGAGCTGGACACACTGAATGTGGGTCTGATCAGCAACAGAATCAGCCCAACTCCAGGCTCCAACAGCACCACCCCTGCACCAAGCTCCAACAGCACCACCACTGCACCAGGATCCAACAGCACCACCCCTGCACCAGG